TTCTTAACTACCTCTAAAAAAACAAATCTTAAATTTTTATGGAAAATTATGTCCTCTTCTATGCAATTAATTTTTTATGGAAAATTATGTCTTCTTCAGTGTAATTAAAAATTTTAGTCATTTGCAAATCTCGCAAAGAAATTTGTGTATTGCCATAAGTGATTTTTGAGAAAAAAACTACCAACTCAGAATCCACAAAGTCCTCTAAGTGGAAGAGTAGGAGTTGGCAGTGGAGAGCCAAAGTTTTTCTTTTATAAATGGTTTGTTTTAGGGCATTTTCACTTTATATAGTTGGAGAGAAGCCATGGTTAGTTCATAACTTAGGGTGAATAACAAACATCAATCATTATTCCAACACATAATTTGAATGAAAACAAGTTCTTTTAAATCCCACATCCCGAACACCCTATTCATGACATACTTATTAAGGTTTCAATAAAGGATTGTAATTCATTTTGGAAATAGGAATCAACAAGAATTTTATTTGTGCAAATATTCATGACATACTTATTTCACACCATGAGAACAACATGCCAAAAATAAGCTACACATAATGTAGAGAATATAAATTGAGAACAAAGTTATAGTTGTGCCCACTAAAGCAAAATAAGGAGCAAGAACCAAACCGTTTATAAATTAAAGTGCAAGATGCAAAACAACCAATGACCATAGCATAACCTTGCTAACATGTCATCATTGATTGATGTAGAAAATTAACATTCAAACAATCATGGAAAAAGTACCACATTTTTGCACGAAATAACCTGCCTTTTCCATTTTTATCGGGTAAAGAATGTTTCTCGTATTGTGAGTAAAGATCAGCCCACGGCTCCATTCGTATAAAAGCATAAAAATAGTCAATGCTAAGAAAGAATGCATATTCTTCTAGTGTCTTTTCACATGACACCCATTCCATTTTACTGAAATTTATTTCTTGAATCATGTATGGAAACTCTGAAATTCGATTTATAACATAAAGCTTTTCACCCAAACTTACAAGTATCGGGTAACGATGGTTTGGCTTCAGAAAATTGTTGAATTCAAGTAACGTAACTTCGGGTGTTGGAAAAAGTCTCACTTCACTTAAAATTTATTGGGGTGTAGGGTATATATCTTTCCCCTGAAGGCATGTAAATCAAGGATGCCGAAATGGGTGGTGACATAAGTCCATTCTCGTTTACCAACAATAACAAACCATATTTTGTGATAGTATCTATCGAACACAACAAACACCCACCAAGGTATTAAAGGTGAAAAGACAAGGATACCCCCCAGAAAAGGAGTGCAGGAGCGGACATTAAGGAAAGGGAAAGGGACATGAAATTCATGCCTTGTGATAGGATTCACAAGCCAGAAATCGTTGGTTTTCTCACGAATCAGAATCAAGTAACCATAACTTACACCAACACGTGTCTTATAATCAGAATGAGGAAGGCTGATTTTTAACATTCTTCTTTCAAAGTCCTCCAAGTAGAACTTACTCTCATGATTAGCATCAGTAGAGATAGAAATGGACATGGGTGGTCTGGACACTATAAACTTGTTCTTGTTAGATAGGGCGAGTGATCTCCATGACTTACAAACTCTGATGAATGCAAGAAAATCAATGACTCCAAGTTGCATCATAACTAAGAAAAGCACATCATGGTTAAGATCTAACCAAGGATCAAAAGTCTTGATCTTCTTCCTGATAGATGCATCATCATGGTTATGGTCTCTAGTCATACTCCTTATCTTACCCATTTCTAATTTTCTACACTTGCAAAAAAAAAAAAAAAAAAAAAAAAAAAACATTTGAGAGATTGGTATATACCATTTTTCATATAAGATACAAAGGTTAAAAAAACAGGGGAGAAGTATACACTATACATGTATAAACTGACACTAAAAAAGTTGAACAATATGAAAACAAGATGCTAAAGTAATATGAGAAGTATCCATCATGGCACGACCACGGCATTCCCTACGACGCGGTGACGAATGGTTTCAAAACCCTAGGTATCGGGTAGTGGGGACTATTTATAAAAAAATGATGGTTAGGGTTTCCTCCACTCTCAGCCTCCTTTCCTTCCAAAGAACCCTTGCATCAAATCACAGTGTTCTCTTTTAATCTTTTTTGTGTTTGTGTTATTGTGAAGCTCTAGATGGAAGTTCACACTCTCTTAAAGCTTTTGGTGTGAAAATTTTGCCTTCGCACTTTTATGGATGTTAGTATGTGACTAAGTTTCTATGTTTACTTCTTAGATATTGTGATTTATATGCATTTTTGGGCCTTTTATGGATTATTTTGGAGTTCTGGAAACTCCAAAATAAAGATTGGATCTTTATGGTCCCTTTGTGTTCGAGAAGTGGTTTATGGCATGTATATGGAGTTTAACCCCCATTTGATACCATGGATGGGGTTATAACCATATTTTTACCATTTCTTAACTTAGGTGTTGTTTGTTTTTTCTGAGGCAAAATGTCTGCAGTCTGCGGACCACATCTGTAGACCTTTGCAGTAGAAGAGGTGGACCAAACGTCTGCAGTCTGAAAAAAGAAGACTGTTTGTTTTTTTAACATCTGCGGGCTATTAAAATAAACTGAAATCTAAATAAACTGATTTTTTTAAACTTCAAAGCAAATTTTTTATATATTTTTACGACTTTATTATAAATATATAACGAATCTAGATCAACTTTTATGTATTATTATATAAAAAATAAAAATAAAAATGGTATTAATTCATATACATATTTGATAAAAACCAACAACTTTGATTGCAAAGTTATAACTAAACATTATAATTAGTGATCAAAGAATTTGATACATAAATAGATGGAAATAAACTTCGATTTTTTCAAATAAATCTATTAAAAACGTACGATAAATATTTTCTCGAGAAATTGATGATACTCTATTAAATAAAGTTTTACAAAATTTTGGCAAAAAAATATAAGAATATATTATGATTTTTTTTTCATATTTATATAAACAACTTCAACGACTATTATTATAATAAATTTTTATTTATAAATTTGTTAAAAATATCATGTTTGTATCGTCAAATGTTTTTTTTTTAAGTTTTGTAATTTTTTTTTCATATTGTTTATCATTAATAAAGTTGGAAAAAATATAAATTAAAAAAAAAACTTAAAAAAAATAAAGATATGTATATTTTTTAAGCTAGAAGATGTCTGAAGATGTTAGAAGATTTTGGTCCGCATCTGCGCCAAGAAGAGGGCGCGCAAACATTTTTTAGGTCTGCAGTCTTCAAAAAAACAAACAGTCTGCGAAGACTAATGTCTGCGCGTGGTCTGCGCGGCGCAGACAGAAGACGTCTCGCAGATCTGCAGACAAAAAACAAACACTACCTTAGATTGTGTGACATGCATGTCCATAAAGTTCTGATTTTTGTAGACCTTGAGGAAGTATAAAAGCTTCTTGGGAAGTATAAGACTTGGACTTAGGTGATTAAGAGCTCAATAAGAAAACTGTTCTGCCAAATAAACCGTGACACAATCAGAGCAAGGAGATGAAGGGCAGGTGAAATTTGGACATACGCAAAGGCCCTTTTCCTAATGGGGACCAATTTTTTTTTTTTTTTTTTTTACTACGAGGCCCAACAAATGAATCTATGTTAGGTTTGTCCAAGTCCACTCAACAATTTAAGCAAATACGTGAGATTGTGAGAACTATGACTGGGAAAGCAACACAAAAGTCAAGCCAGAAGCCATTGTAATTGTATTCCGTCGATTATCCAATTACCGATCATTCAGCGAATCAACAAGTTTGTTAATTGATCAAGCCCAACAAATCACTCTCTGTTAATCGATTAGACTATTACTAATCAGATAAAAGTCATTCAATTTCATTCAACATTCAATCATTCATGTATTTTGTTTGCCTTTTGTTTTAGAATTCATAATATTTTTGTTCCAAAATGCAAAATTCATAAATTGACTAATTTATGTTATTAGAAATTGAATGTTATCACTTATCAAAAACTGAATGTATAATGTCTTTATGTTATTCTTTATGTTATTAGAAATTCTGAAATTGAATGTTGAATTTGAATAGTTTGCCTTTATACTTAATTGAATAGATTATCAAAATCACTTTATCATATGATGGTTATTAGTGAGCGTTGAAATTTTGAAATATGAATGAATGTTGAATGTTGAAAGTTGAAACTAACGAACTTGTAGTGATAAAGTCTAAATAACCAACCGGTAGTTGAAAACCTAAAAAAAGAAAACTCGATGAAGAAAAGAGAAAAGTTGACGTAGGTGCTCTGGATTATTTTATTTATAAAGTTTATCGTCGTTTTAAAAAAAATAGTTTATATAATTTAATCTGTTACACGTTAAGATCTAAGGATCCTTTTTTTTTCGGGCCGTCTTAGATATTTGAATCCTCAGGATCAGCCCTGAGTTAGGGACTGACCATGGTAAGGTGGATGTTGGGGTGTAATTTCTATTTTTAAACAATAAAGTATTAAAAAATATATAAAATACAAAAAATGAAATTAAAATGGCAGGTTTTTTTAAAATTTTAGTCATTTTTGTCAAAATTTTAGGCCCGACTATCTTATTCGAATTGCCATCAATCAACAGCATTTTGACTTCTTCCAACGTAAAGGGAGAGTGACTACAAAAAAGAACAGCGGAAATTCTCCAGAAACAACAAAACCCACCACTCCAAAGAAGGTGAAAATCAAGAGGATCTCTCTCAGGTTTTGTTATGATTCTCGTCTCCAAAACCCTAACTTCCTCTTCCTGGTACGTCAATTTTTCCTATCCAGTTGTTCTTCAATTGAATTGTGCTTTAATTGATCTTATATACAAACTGAAACCTGTCATAAATTGAAAAAGGTTTCTCCATAGTTCACATACTAATCATCTTTTACGCACCTCATCCTCGAAAAAAATTCTACAATTTCCGATTATATCGTCTCGTAAACCTAATACGTTCAAAATCCAAATTGATTGTTTGGAGCTTATGTGATTCTATTGTGGGAAATGACTTCAAAACCGTTAAACAACATCTGGATTCGACGCCAACAATGCCCTTGTGGAGATTGGAAATGCTATATCAAATACGAAGGTGATGATCAAACAACTGGAGTGTCTGAATTGGTAAAGACTGATGGAACAACTTCATCATCTTCAGATGTAATTTTCACCCCATATGTCGGTCAAATATTCAAAACCGATGATGAAGCTTTCGAATACTACTGCAACTTTGCCCGAAAGAACGGATTTTCAGTCAGGAAAGCCCGGTCAACCGAAAGTCAAAACCTCGGGGTTTACAGGAGAGATTTCGTGTGTTACAGATCTGGATTCAATCAGCCAAGAAAAAAAGCTAACGTGGAACACCCAAGAGATAGAAAATCAGTAAGATGTGGATGCGATGCAAAACTATACTTAACAAAAGAGATTGTAGATGGTATAACACAGTGGTACGTTTCTCAGTTTAGCAACATTCATAATCATGAATTATTAGAAGATGATCAAGTACGCCTCCTTCCTGCCTATAGAAAAATCCAAGAATCTGATCAAGAACGCATTCTTTTACTCACAAAAGCCGGTTTTCCAGTCAACCGAATAGTCAAAGTTCTTGAACTAGAAAAAGGGGTTCAACCAGGACAATTACCCTTCATAGAGAAAGACGTTAGAAACTTTGTAAGAACCTGCAAGAAAACCGTTCAAGAAAACGATGCCATGTTGACCGAAAGAAAAGAACTTGACATGTTGGCACTTCTTGAAGCATGTAGGGAAACCTCACAAAGGGATAATGGATTTGCGTATAACTATACAACCGATGAAAGTGGTAAAGTTGAAAATTTTTCATGGGCATATGGTGATTCCATTCGCGCGTTTTCAGTTTTTGGAGATGTTGTTACTTTTGAAACAACATATCGCTCCATTACTTACAATATGCTTCTTGGTGTTTGGTTTGGTATTGATAATCAAGGCAAAGCGTTTTTCCTTGGGTGTGCTTTGCTACAAGACGAAACTTCTCAATCCTTTTCTTGGGCCCTACAGGTGATAAATCTTTCATTGATCATTAAGTTTTCCACTTTCCACTTTATTGTCAGTATCTACTTTCTGCTTTATCGCTAGTATCTGCTTTCTGTTTTATTGTCAGTACAGACTTTCGTCCAGTTCCTAAGAGGAAGTCACCCGCAGACAATCGTAACAGACATAGATTCGGGTCTGAGAGACGCAATCACCACCGAGTTACCAAATTCCAAACACGTGATATCCATATGGCACGTGTTATCTAAATTATCGAGTTGGTTTTCTTTGGATCTTGGATTACAGTATCCAGAGTTCAAAACCGAGTTTGAGTTGTTATGTCATCTTGAAAACATAGAAGATTTTGAAAACCAATGGAATCATCTTGTGAGTCGATTTGGAATCGAGTCAGATAAACATGTGGCTCTTTTGTTTTCTTATCGAGCTTCATGGCCTGTTGCGTATATTCGAGGCTACTTTCTTGCACGTACAATGACAATTGATTACATGAAGTCTATGGATAAGTTTATGAAGACTATCTTGAATCCACATTCGTCTTTCAAGAATTTCTTTGATCAGGTAATAGGTTGAAATTTTGAAAATTACTCTACTTTAAATGAAAAGGGCTAAGATTGTTTTCTTTGAAATTTGTGAAGGTAAGTGAGGCTACAAATGTTGCATTTCAGAAGAAACAGAAGCAACTATCAACATATTCGCCCATGAAGACAAGTCTACCACTTGAAGAACATGCAAGAAGTGTTCTTTCACCTTACGCCTTCAATGCATTACAACAAGAGATTGTTTTATGCATGCAATATGGAACAACTGATATGGCAAACGGATCATATCTTGTGAGACATTACAACAAATTGGAAGGAGAGTGTCTTGTGATTTGGATACCAGATACTGAACAAGTTCATTGTTCTTGTAAAGAATATGAACATTCGGGTATTTTATGCAGACATTCGCTAAGGGTGCTTGTGCTCAAGAACTACTTCCAAATTCCTGAAAAATATTTTCCACTTAGATGGCGGGTTGATACTTCTCTGGTTCTTGATGATCATGTAATGACAACACAAGAGGGAAATGATGAGTGTTCTGAGGCGTTTAACTCTTTGACTTCAACTCTATATTCCGAATGTTTGATCTCTAAAGATCGTTTTAGTTATGTTCATAAAGAACTGAATCAGATTCTTGAAATTGTTAGAAGTATGCCTGTTTTTGATGAGGTTACTCTGGATTTGGGACCTAACACTGTTAATGATTTATAGAAAGTTAGTGAATATTGAGCTTTTCTTGTTGTTGAAGTACATAGAATTTATTCATTATCGGGATAAAATTTTACATGATTGGTCCCTATGGTTTCAGTTTCTTGCATGGTTGGTCGCAATGGATATTGTAAACACATTTTTAATACAAAATCCACATACATGACATTGGAAAAAAACAATATTAAGTGAAATTATTCTTCATTTAGATTCAAAACATCATTTTGAACGAAAATTGCCTTTCATAGTTTCATACCAACTTCTCTTTATACAAAGCTATGAGCAGGTGATTTCCTAAGTCCAATTTGATTCATCATATTTCTCACATTCTCCGCCTCTTCCCACCTACCAACAGCCGCATAAATATTCCCCATCAAAATATAATTCCCCGTGTTCTCCGGTTCCAACTCAAACAGCTTCTTCGCTGCCACTTCCCCCAATTCCACATTCTCATGGACCGCACACGCGCCCAATAACGCCCCCCACACCGTACAATTCGGACTCACGGGCATCTTAGTAATTAACCCATACGCCTCCTCAACCCTCCCCGCCCTACCAAGAAGATCAATCACACACGTGTAATGATAAGGACGAGGGGTAATTCCGTAATCTTCCATCATCTTAAACAACCTCAAACCCTCATCCACTAACCCCGAATGACTACACGCATGTAAAACAGAAGTAAAACTCACTTCATTCGGTTCCACTTTACATTCCACCATTTGGTTAAAAACCGAAACCGCACCCTCTCCATTCCCGTGTTTCCCATAACCCGATATCAACACGCTCCATAACACAATATCCCTTTCTTTCAAGGGTATTTCGGTAAATTGAACATACGCTTGTTCTAAAGCTCCAGATTTCGAGTATATATCGATTAAACCGGTGGCTAAATCGCTTTTTGAAAGAAACCCCGATGTCATTAGATACCCGTGGAAGTTTGTTACTTGTTTAAGATTTGTTGTAATTGCATACGCGGGTAGAACGCATTTTATAGTTGCTTCATTGGGTCCCACGCCTTCGAGTCTCATGTTTTTGAAAAACAATATTGCGTCTGTGTAAAGTCCGTTTTCTATGCTTCCGGAAAGAATCGCGTTCCATGGTGCTGTTCTTGTTTTTGATGTTTTGTTAAATGTACGAAAACTATATGTAAAAAACGTACATTTTGCGTACATGTCGATTAATCCGGTTTCTACATTTACATCAGAATCAAGATTGTTCTTCATTGCCCATGCGTGAAAGGTTTTACCATGTTTTAAATGCTTTAAATCCGCACATGATGAAAGAAGAGAAGCTAAAGTTAATGCATTAGGGTTTACACCTTCATGTAACATCAATGGGCAAAGTGAGATAGCTGTTCTTGTATCTCCATTCACAATGTAGCCATTTATCATTGAAGTCCATGTCACTACATCTCTTTGATTAGTTTCATTGAATACAGTTCTTGCATCTTCCATTTCACCACATTTTACATACATGTCTATTAAAGCGTTTCTAACGTATAAGTTTTCATCCAAATTGTTCTTTTTCACCAAATCATGAATCTTTCTTCCAATATCTATCTCTTTAAGATAAGCACAAGCGGGAAGAATTGAGACAATTGTAGCATTATCAATCTCCATCTTTGAATCAATCATTTCATTGAAAACACTCAAAGATTCATTTGCGAATCCATTTTTGAAACACCCACTAATCAAAGTGTTCCAAGATACCACACACTTGTCATGCATTTCATCAAAAACTCGTTTAGCTTCATCTTTTTTGCCAAAACTCATGTACATTGCTAGCAAAGAATTACCCACAAATGTGTTTGATTCAACACCACTATGCAGAATCAAACCATGAACCGATAAACCAAACTGCAACATTGAAAGTTCAGCACAAGATTTAACCACAAAAGGGTATGTGAGCCTATCTGGCTTTGTTGTTCCTGACTTGAGCATTTCCACAAACATCTCAAGTGCGTTATATGGCAATCCCTTCTCGGTGTACAGCTTTATCATACTGTTGTATGATCGCTTGGTTCTCTGATGCAATTTATCAAACAGTTGGCGTGCGTATGGGAGGTGACCTGATAATGCATACCCAGATGAAAGGAGAGCGGGAATGTAACGTGATTCCCATTGTGTAAGGAGCCCTGATGTGATGACATGGGCGTGGAGCTTTTTAATGTCAGTGAGAGATTTGTTGGCTGCATAGTTGTATAAAAGAGACTCGATTTGAGTGGCAGTTGGAACTATGGTTCGGGTAAATAAGTGGCTGATATTCAGAAGTGCTGTTGATGTGCCATTCATGACCTAGGTAGATGTACTTCAGAAGGTTAATGGCTTCCTGGTAGCACAAATATCAAACAGAAACAGTTCAATTCACAAGCGAAGTCGAGATAATTTTAGATACGAACGCAATTTGCACAATTTCAATTAGGAATCGAAAGAATTCTGTGTATTTTCTTCAGCAAAACAATCACTTGATTAACAGTTCAGAGTAGTAAGAAAAATCTCAAATGCATTCTTTCCTGCTGTACTCGCTATATTTTCTAATAGATAAACACGGAAACGATCAAAATTTTAAAAGTCGAAGAATCAAATGTAGAACAACAATGAAATATATGATGCAAGAAATTATCGAAATACGTACGGTAATGAATTTAGGGTCTGAACTTGTCTGACCTGGAAACGTCACCGGCGAAGAAGGGACGCAGTGGAGCTCCGACAATAAATTAGGAGTTTTTAGGGCTCAAATTATGAACTGTTTTGACAAAATTACAAAAATAATCCTTTTAGAATGTCATTTTTTTTAAAAAATAAAAAAATTATGGATTCGGTCCCTTTCTATCAATGTTTTAAAACCGGTTTAAACCGGTCGGTCAAACCGGTCGGACCGGAAATCGGAGAAAGAAACGGTTTAATTATCATCGGTTTTACATTGATTTTTTAATCGGATTGAACCGGCCAGTTTTTAGAAAAATCCGGTTGAACTGGTCAAAATAAACCGGTTAAACCGAATAAAAACACATGAAAAAAAAATCATTTACATAATAAACTTTGGTATTTTTTTTTCATATCTATTTAATTTTCTCTAAATAAAAACATATTGTAAATGTTATAAAATTTTTTGATGTGTTTCTATTCATCTAAAATTATATTTTGTTATGGTATTATATTTTATTTTATTTTTGATGTATATGAATTAATGTAAAACATTAAAACTTATGATTATATGTTATTTTAATGTATTTGGATTCATCTACAACTTATTTTTATTTGTATTTTTAATGTTTGAAAATTTTATAATTTATATATGTATGTATGTGTAGGAAAATAGGAAAAAATATGAAAACTATAGAAACCGGTTGAACCAGGAACCGGTCACCATAACTAAAAAACTGGTTTTTAAAACATTGCTTTCTACACATATATGGTTAGTTGTACTGCTTCAAAAAATCTCTTAAAATTTCTTATGATCTCGAGTATCATAGGCAAGATGCAAACTTTTTACTTCCATTTTCCTTTAATGATTATGTTTTTTTGTAAAGACACACCTCATGTTGTTTACCATAGAGCAACACCATGTTGACAAATTTACCAAGTTTCTAGGCATCTAATACATTAAAGGTTAAGTATGATATGTGGATTTGTGGACAAAGATAAGTTCTCAGTCAATGAACTTGATTATATAATGATTGAACTTCATTACTCTACACCCTTAGTGATATAACATCATTTTACGATTCAACATGCTAACTTGGATTTTGGTCTCAGAGTGTTGGTGGAATGATCATGATGTCTTAAATATGGCACAATACATTCCATATAACAAGCTGATTAAAGTATGCAGTGATCATGAGCATGGTAAAACAAATTTGTTAGTCCACTTCATGTCTCCCAAAGGAAAGCCAAATGTTATAATTAAGGCAACACATAAAGGGGATGTTCATAAGGGGGTAACCCATTCATCAGCTAATTATGCAAATGATAAAATCCCAATGAGAGATGAAAATAATAACTTTGATGATAAAAACAAATAGAAGGGTATGCGGCTTTGATACTTTGTGGCGGTGATACTAAACAAGTGTCACCATATTACAAAAGAACTAAATTGGGACGACATGCTTAACATGTTGTTGATGTCAAAATATACTTACACTTGCAGAGGTTGTACGTTAATATGCATTCCTTGCAACATGCCACTGCCATTCTTAGTTAAATGAAAATAAAAATAAAAATTAAGGATGTATGTAATATTTACAAGCAGGTGCACAATGTTTATTAATTAGAGATATGGCAAAATGCATATGCATATAAGGTGCAGCCAATAAAGAAAAAAAAAAGATATAGACCAAAAGGTTATGTAAAACAAATCTTAATCCAAATCCATATCATAAGTAGGTAGAAAGGCTTAAGAATAGAAAGAAGAAAAGTGAGGATGAAAGTTTGAGCAGTAGTCTAAATGGAAGTGCAAGTGTTAGTCAACGAGAAGGTCGGAATGTTGGTGTTAGTGGAGTTTAGAAACTAATAAGAAAGAATGTTAGTGTTACTTATGCAAAATGCAAGAATAAGGGGAACAACTCACGGACATACAAAGGTGTAACATCCCGACTCCCAAGTATAAGTTTAAAGATTTTATATTTATATTTTTAGGGAAATTCGACGAGTTGGAAGCTCCAACTCGTCGTGTGGAGACCAAGATGGTTGTGTGAATTTTAGAACCTACTCGGCGAGTTGGAGGACCCAACTCGATGAGTTGAACTTGAATGTGAAAACCCTAATTTTTAGGGTATGCACCCTATTTAATGGACCTTATGGCTCATTTGCAGCCTCTCTCATCATCCCTTTACCATAGAAACCCTAATTACCCCATTGTGTGAGTGTGTGAGCTTGGAAAGTCACTTTTGGTGCTCTTTTGAAAGTATTCTTGAAGATTGAAGAGCTTGGATTGAAAGGAAGGTTGTATATCCGACATCTACGTTGTATTGACAACCAACTTGAGGTACAAAGTCAAGACCTTGCCTTTTTCTTGCTTAGATCTTCCCTTATTCGAAAATGGCCTTTTTTTTGGTGCAAAATGGAGTCACTTTTGGATTTGATCTTGTCTTGGGAACATGGTTTCAGATTT